TCTCTCTCTCTCTCGAGACAAATGCACCACTTTAAATAAAATGGCAATAGTTTAATGTTCTTTGGGCGGCCCGGCATCATTTGATCCACAGACCGGGGGTTGCGGATCACTGCCCTAGGACACCCCCCTTGTGTGCGCCACTGTCCGAGTTGATACATTTTTTCTGTTATAAAATGTGTTTCGCATTTCTTCTCCTATACCGTAATGCTAAATGATCTACCCCTTTACATGCAGAAAGAAAAAAACTAATTATTTATGAAATATTTTGAAATTTTAAAGGCACTACATTATAAACAAATGCATGAGTTACAATGTCACAAATTTTTATAAAAATTGAGGCATTTTTGCTGTCCGAAAATGTGTTCCTCGTTTAATTCACTGTCTTGCATGTGGCGAAAACAGCCTTAAAGTGGGAGAAATAGTTACTCCTCCCTATGAAAAATTTCTTACTCCCCCTCCCCCGATCACAAGTGGGCATTCTCCTTAAAACAAATGTTAAATTACAATTCTTTTTCTTTTCTTTTTGGAAATATTTAATCGGTGGATGACATATATCACCCACTCACAAATTTTTTCTGCAAAATCAACTTCGTTCTTTAATGCCACCGTACAAACTACTACCTAACAAGTGCAACTGTATAGTTAACTTCCTGATTCTGATACTCGTCCCATGTGGTAAACGATATACGTATGAGATTCAAAAGAACCTGCAGAGTTCTGAGTTTGTAACTTACAATTTCCTCTTGAACCATCACAAACCCCTGAAAAATTTTCGTCAAGGAACCACCGGCAGATGGTTCCCTCAAACTCCACCACTGCCGGAAACATCCCCCTAAGAGAAGAGAGAGGGAAAAAAGATGGCACAAACAGAAAGGTTAGCCCCCCACCTCTCAAACGCTTTGTGTTTTCCGCATCTTGGCAAAGCAGAACACCGCCACATTATACGCTTTTTCAAGAGGACGAGGGGGAAGGTTAAAGTGCGCACCCCTCCACCAATTCAGCTGATTTACCCCCCTCTGGATATGGTCATTCCACCTGAGTTTTGTACGCTTTTACGAACAGCTGCCACCAGCCACCTTGCGTTTGCATACAGCTGAAGATTGGAAATGGCGCAGGGGATTAGAGAAGCCATCTGTCGCCAAAAGCTGTCGCCAAGAGACAAGCAAAGGTTACGCACTTCAAAGAAACATGATATCTAGGTGGTTTCGACGTGGTGTGGGGGTGGGGGATTTGAATCTTCGTTTTCCAGATGTGGCTTAAGTTTCAGATGGTGATGGAGGAAAAACAAAAAACAAAGCCTTGAATTTGTAATGGATTGTGATTCGAATCGGTTAGAGATTCGATTTGTTTTTCATAACGCTTGAAGAGAGATTTGCTGCGGTTATTATGCAGGAGACTTAAACGAATTTGATTGTTCTATATTTTAGAGAGGGTGAAAAAAATCTGAAATACGGAAATATAATTTGTAAGAAAACCATCTTCAAAATAGCAGTATATTTTTAAGGCAGAAAGAAAAAAAAATGCTCTAATATAAATATTCTGGCGTCGTTATATGGGGGAAAATATTATTATTTACGGATGTGGGAAAGATGTTACATCGCACGGAGATAAGGAGAAACATTATTGATAAAAAAAATAATTTTTTTTAATTTAATATTGTTACAAAAAGGTGTAACTTAAATAATAATAAAATAAATTTTTTTTAAACCTATACCATGTTTTTATAACGGACTCTAAAAATAAAATAATTTCTCTAATTCTTATAAAGGATAAAACCACATACAGATTTTTAACTTTTTCTAAATTATCTTGAAAATTCATACTTGGCAACTTTTGATAGCTATTAAAATACTTGTAAGATAAGGAACGAAAAACATGGGACGCATGCAATACTTATAATACAAATAAAGAGTGTAGAGAGAAGCTATCAATAAAAGAGTTTAATTATTGGTTCACATTATTTGCGGTGCAATAAAATTGTTAGTTGATCTATTAATGCATCAATTATATTTGCTGCATGCGCCCTACGTTTTATTTAAGATTATGTATGTTGTTATGTTTTTAGATAAAAAGACTTCATTTTTTTTTGGTTGGATGATTTTAGACTCAAAATAAAATTATTTTTCTTCAATATAAATAACAAAAGCCCAGTGGCTGAGTGGTAGTGTATCACGCTTCCACACCAGGTCCGGGATTCAAATCCTCCTAATCCATCTATCCATTATTCTCTGCAAAAATAAATGTGTCATTAGATATCCCCCCTTTTTACATGATATATCCACATACATATTCTACATATACATTCATTTGATTTATGTCATACATGAAGTCTTGCGAGTGGTTGTGTATCGTGCTTCAAGACCACAGGTCCGGGATTCAAATCCCGGGCTGGGCAAGGTCGACTCAGACTTTCATCCCTTCAGTAAGTCGATAATTGAGTACCAAGGCTTGCTTGGGAACTGAATACTGGGCGTTTCGTGTCAAACTGATCACTTGACCGAAATATCTGCTCATGTACCCTAGCGACTAAAGTCACGTAAACTGAGATAGACGCAGTAAGCCTTGGCCCTCATGGGCTGTTGCGCCACTGTGAGTTCAGTTCAGTAAAAACAACAAAAGGCGATGATTATTGATTAGTGAGTGCTGAGTAGTACAATGCATACTCTACAACACATTTCATCACTCCAGCTCTTTCTCACTGTCTAAGTCTAATCCAAGCTTTCTTCCGCTGTATCTCGTGCAGTGTTACTTCGACTGTTGGAATTTTTTTTAAAAAAATTAATACTAAAAGGAAGCTGTTACATGTACCTTATGTTTTTCTTGTAGCTATTTAGTAGGTGTCTTCTCATCGCAATAAATGTGTTAAAAAGTACTAAATACCTTTTTTCTTTGATCAAAATTATTTCAACTTTTTACCATAAAAAGCTCAAATACCCAAACTTCATTCACCTTTTTCAAATACAGTCGAACCTCCATATTGCGAACCTCTATATTGCGAATTTTTCTATATAGTGAACTTTTTCCTGGAACCAAGAACATTTTACGATTTTCTTCATAACCTCCCTATATAGCGAAGTGTATTTTCTATATAATGAATTTTTTTTTCTTGCGATTCAATTTTTTTCCCTCTATTTTTAAAGTATTTTTGAACATTTCGAATTATTCTCTACTAACACGTTTTATGGTGGTCATAAATCTTGAACTGGTTTTATTAGGCGCCTAACTTGTCGACAGCAATAGAATTCTGGGAAGAATTCGAAGAATCCAAGAAGTACAACCTTTAACCCCTATTGTACAATTCACTAGAAACATATTTGATATCCCCTTTCTCATCCACAGTGGAGTTCTAGTCATAAAATAGTGTATGTTTAAAATTACTTGTATGCTTTAAATTAGAATATGTCTTTAAAATTCATAAATTTTAATATACAATTATTTTCTTAATGTTGAAAATACAGTATTCCTCAACATTCTTTCTTCTTGTTTTCCTTGCTTTTTTTTTATGGATAAGATATATAAAATAAATAGATATTAATTTACAAAAAGGTGTGAATAATTACTTTTTTTTAATACGTAGTGTTTGTGAATTTAAAATTTGTTTAATGTGGTTTATAAAGTATATTAAAAGATGAGAGAACCTCTATGTAACGAACTTTTTTCCGGGATTTAGCGACTTCGTTATACAGAGGTCCGACTGTACTGTAAAATCCGGCTCATAACGTTCACTCCCTTTCTTACGAATCAACAAGAAATGTACGTGTACAATGCTCACATGATTTGTAGTCATTTTTTACAGATATTATTCCAGGCGTTAGAAAAAATTAGTATACTTCTACAACTTTTTAAGTTCATGAGGAATATCATTTCTTTTGAATGGAGTTTTTCGATATATGTAGACAGGGCCGACTCTAGCAGTTTTGCCGCTCCGGACAAAATGCCGTCTCTCTCTCTCTCTAAGCAAGATAAATTCAAAAAGATAAATTGTTTTCCCATAGATACACATCTATAAAATTTGAATAATTCTTGTGAACAAAGATTCTGTGTAATAAATTATATACAGTCGAACCTCTATAACAAAGTCGCTAAATCCCGAAAAAGAGTTCGTTATATGGAAAATTCGTTACATAGAGGTTAATCTTTTAATATACTTTATGAACCACATTAAACAAATTTTAAAAATTCATAAACACTATATATTAAAAAAAGTAATTATACACATCTTTTTCAAATTAATATAATTTCATTTTATATATCTTACACATCAAAAAAGAAAGAAAGAAAAACTACAAGGAAAAAAAAAAAAAAAAAGAATGTCGAACAATTCACTGTATTTTCAAAATTAAGAAAATAATTTTATATTAAAATTAATGAATTTTAAGGACATTTTAGAATTTAAAGCATTCAAGTAATATTAAATATACATTATTTTATAATTAGAACACGGGATAGCTCTACTGAGGGTGAAAGAGGATATCGAAGATGTTTCTAGCGAACTGGGCGATGGTGGTTAAAAATTGCACTTCTTGGATGAAACGTCCAGAACTCTATTGCTCTCGGCGAGTTAGGATCTAATAAAACCAGTTCAAGATTTATGACCACCATAAAATGCGTTAAAGAGAGAATAACTTGAAATTTTTTCAGAAATACTTTTAAAAAAAGAGAGAACAAAAATTGAATCAAAAAAGAAAAAGTTCGTTATATAGAAAATGCACTTCGCTATAGAGAGGTTATTTTACGAAGAAAATCGTGAAATGTTGAAGATTCCAGTAAAAGGTCCGCTATATAGAAAAATTCGCAATATAGAGGTTCGTTATATAGAGGTTCGACTCTGTATATATTTTTTTAAGTTTTACAAAATAATTCGAAATTAAGGACATAATTGACTGTTATTATGTTAGAGTAAAATGTAAGAGGGAAATCGCCAATTTCTTCGGAAAATAGTTTACCGATGGTGGGGATCACAGGTGTTTATTTTAACTTACAGAAACTACACTCTATCCGTCCCACCTAGTATGGTGGTTATGACGCTCGACTTGTAATCGAGTGAGTTCGGGTTCGAATCCCGAGTAAGGCATGGATGCATCTTCGGGAAAAGAAATTGGACTTTCGCCTGTAATGGATTCCCGTCTCGAAAGGAAAGCAGCGTACCTCTTCTGTTTTTTGCTGGGATTATCGTTTGTAATAAAATCTATATTCTACTGTGATTGTGTTACATATTTCTGTTTGTGACGAAACTGTACGGCACTTTACCACTTATACTCTTGGGCGTCTTTTGGGATTGTAAATTCGCGTATATTTCCAACCAGCTCTAAAAGGAGAAAACGGGATATGCATATGAATCAAAGTATATAAGGAGAGTGTTGTAGGTTAGCGGAGAAGGGCTATTGAGCCAAGAGATACATAGACGGAGCGCTAAGAAGATTCAAGTTGATTGTGTGATTAGTTTCTGGCTGACTATCAGGCAGCGATCTACATTCGGAAAGTTCGAGCCGACTGGAAAGGAGTGAAGTGTTAAAAGTCAGGTGATATTTAAACTTCAATGATCGGATAATAAGAGTAGATAAATATTAGAGTTAGTGTATATTTAATGATTGCTAGTAATTCAAATTGCGTATACCTCTCGGACGCGTCAGCCGACGATCATTCAACCGGTTCCGTGAGCCGATTCTTCTTTTCTCCGACATCTTAACAGTAGAAGAAGCCTAAAGCTTATAGGCTGGATCTTATGCAAAAGATATATGCCAGGCGGTAAACCCGTTCGATATTGAGTTTAATAGTTGATTAGTATCATATTTCGTGATTTAATCTAATAGTTAAGTTAAATCCCAATGACGTAAACATATTGCTTCATATTTGTATTTAGAAGGTTGATAATTGATTCAAGTGAATAAATACTATTTGCAGTGGTGCACACAAGGGGGGGGGTACTGGAATCCGGAACGCCCCCCCAAAGCCCTTGATTTTTTTTCCGATTGATTATAATTCTAAGTATATAGTACATAAAATTTAATTAATTACTTGCTAGTAATGATTAATTTTATTAATTAATGCTAATTATTTATTCAAAAACTAGTTTTTTACTGTGTTTTGTTCCCGAAAATCGACAAAATCAAACGGAGCATGATACAAGAATGGTGAACTTTCGACCCCGGACCCCCCCTTGAAAAATTCCTGTGTGCGCCACTGACTATTTGTTATTGTAAAAATGTCGTCTGGTAATTCTTTGCCTCAATTCAATCTTGGTGTCCAGGGTGGAACCCAGGGGGGTTCCCACATGTTCATCTATCGCACGTCTTTCGTATGTATCCCAGTAATAAACATACGACAACAGTAACTACACTCAAGACTAAAATAAAACATCTCCTGTGGCTCTCTATCAACCAGAAACTCTAATTACCCCAGTCCCCTTTGGATAGCTAACACCGGACATTGTATGGTGAAAGGAATGTCCGTTATGACCCCTCTCCGGAATGGGGAGGAAGTTCAAGATGTGTAAACATATCAAAGTTTATGATTAATCATATACTCTCGCTTCGAACCCTTCCAGTTTCATTATAAAAGAAAACTAATATTAAACATACAGAATACAAAATGAGGAAATAGGATACGTTAAATGAAATACCAAATTCACACCCAATAATATTTCAGAAAATATGTATACCAAATTTTTTTGTTACAAAAAAAAATATTTTTTAAATCCGATCCAAATGCTGCCCTTAAAATTTGTCACCCCAGGCAGGGGTCCGGTTTGTCCGGCCCTAGAGCCACCCCTGATATAGATGTCTAGTTTTTTCTATGCTCGTCTTTTTTTTTTTTTTTCATTTTGTAAGTATCACATATTTATACCCGGCGTATAACGCGCATGCGTAAATTTCGATCTTATTTTTTTGTGTTAAATTCGGTTTTATTTTTTTGTGTTTTTTTTGTATAATTTTCCCGTCATCTATATAACAGAGAACATCTTTTGCGCATAGGTAATTTTTGAAACTCTAAAACAAAAATAATTTCGATTCCCCTAGTTTATACACAAATAGAAAATTGTTTATATATATATTTAATACATAATATAACTAACACCACATTACTATTTATTTTTTAAATGCTTAATATATTTTTTTTATTTCTAATGGCAAGACTATGAACAGTACATTCACCGAAAGCAGGTATCTCTTTTTATTGCGGCGCCCTATAGGCGGATACCAATTGCTGCAGGTAATTTTGACGCTCAGTTTCTCCCTAGAGGGAGGTAGGTACCTGAGCTCTGATGATGCGAACCTGTACTATGATTTAATTTTGCCTAGAGCTCCCCTCTAGGGATCTTTTACATGCCGTATAATCATAAGACAAGGCCGCTGTCTATTTTCTGCATCAGGAAGATCCATGGACTTGGACCGGGGTCGAACCCACAACCTTGGGTACAGAAGGCCAGCGAAAAACCAACCACACCACCTAGCCGACTGTAATATTAATATAATCACTCACATTTCATTTAGAGGAGTTTATTTAGTTTAGATGAATTTAATGTTAAAACTGAGTATTCTTAAAATCACAAGGTTGTGTCCAATGGCGTAATGTAACCCCCTCTCGCATTGCAGAGGGGGGGGGGCAAGGACTCAAGGGGACCCAAAGCTTGACTAACGCTAAGTACGTATTTAAGCTTGGGGTACAAAAGCTGAGTTTGCAGGGGGCTTTAATATTCTCCAGTAAGCCACTGATTGTGTCACTGATAGTTTTGATGTTGCTTTAACTGTAGTCTCGTAAAAATGTAAATTGAAAATTCCAGACTAAAAGGCATTCCATACGCCCCCTTTTATTTTCGCCTAGACATTTTTGATCTTGAACGTCCGCAATGTTATAATTTTTTTCTTTTAAATTTGATAGACGAGCCACAAAGCACTTAAGAGTTTGAGATTTCAGCACAACGCATGCGGATTTGTGGTTCAAGGTCTAAGCATATCACACACAGAATATAGCATTCGAGAATTTTCTTTTCGATTCGGAAAGAATTTTCCATCTCCCTTATAATTTTCATTATTATTTTGCTTCAGAAAATCGTCTGGCTCTTTTCGCCACACCCTCGCAGATGCTTTGTTTCGAACGAGCGCATTTCCAGAACAAGTTTTGGAATATTTTACACTGTCACAACTCCTCCCTGTTCACTCATTTTAAATAAACAAAAAATTAAACTTCAAAAAAAAAATTTAAGTGATGGTTTCTTAAACTTTATTCAGACCGTGATAATTGCGGTAGAAACAACCCACCGAAATCCATTATCATGGAATATATTTTGTCCTTCGGAAACTCAAATGAAGTGGAAAAATGGAGTGAGTGCTCTTTTATTATTTTTAGAACCCAGAAACTTTTAGAGCCAAGCGAATTTTCTGAATTTCGACAAATTTATCATTTGTAGATGTTTTTTTTTCTTGATTTGATTCTAAAAATATCTTTGAAAAGCACTGATACACCCGTTACTCGAAATTTGTGTCTATACTTAAAAAAAAAAAATCTTTAAAAATTCGTGAATGATTCATGTTTTGTAGTTTAAGATAAATGGAATGTCTTTTCATCTTGTGTTACGTCACGCTTTTGAACAATAAATTGTTTTAATTCGAATAACTGAATTAATCATGTGCTTACGATTTTTTTTAAATAAAAAAAAGAGAAAGGTTTTAAGACTATTTTGTTATTTTTTTCTGTTGCTGCACTAATAAGCAACTGTTTCCAACATGACATCAAGAAAATATATTGTTATTGTTTCCTGAGTTGATGTTAATTACTAGAGATAATTATATGAAAATGTAAGGTTTGTGGATCATCAAAATTTAAATTTGTAATTCTCCAAGCATTTCAAATTTATCATTCTTTAAAGTTCTGCAATAATATAAATTGGTTTGTCTCTCTCTCTCTCTCTCTGTTTTTCAAATTATTTAACTCAATTTTAAATTTTAAGTACACAAGAAAAAGGGGAAATTCAAATTATGATTCACGAATATTTCAAAATTTTACATTCAAAATATAAAACCAACTAAATATTAAATTTATCATATGCTTTAAATAACTTCGGGGATCTTTTTAAGAATTAACGTTTTTATCATTTTTCTCTTTTCCAGATTTGTATGAATTTGGGGAGATATTCCAGAGTTTTGATGTAGAATTTACCTGTAGAACTCCAGCGCGCGCGCGCATCAAAAGTATCAGCATCAATATTTTCCAGAATGATAACTTTATTTATAATTCCTTATTCTAATCTTATTAAAAGTTAAAAATCAGCAGACGATTTTATTTCTATGAGTTGAGCTGCCGCAGAGATTTATATCCGTTAATTTATATTCAGACGGTTCAAGCTCATGGCGGTTAAGTGAGACTTGACAAGCACTGTCAGAAATTAATTAAATGATTAAGTATCAAGAAATAAAACTTAAACATTTTATTAATGTTTATTTCGTAAAAAAATCAAGTTAAAAACTTTTTATGAGATTATAGCAAGATATTCTTAAAATTGAAACAATGTGCATAGATCACATATACATAAGTGTTCTATCAAAAATTTCATTTCACTTCTCCAATTTTATGGCGCATGAATCCAAACTTTTTCAAGAGAATTATAAATCTTAATTTTAATATTATTGATGCACTCCAATCCGCAGCCCATTAGAAATAAAAAAAAAAAGTTTTGATGCACACAGTTAATTCTTTTCTAACCAATCACGTAGTTTCAGAAAAAAAGAGTCATAACGCATTTAACAAACGACTGTAATGTGTTCAATTATCAGAGTTAAGTAGAAGTAGGTAGCCAAAAAAATTAATAAACCAAAGTCTTTGTACAGTTCTGCCGAAAAAAAGAATATTTCATTTATTTTTTCTGTTTTATTTATTTATTTTTTTGAAAATAAATAAATCAAGCAAAGAAAATGGTCTCTGTGTAAACAAAAACTTTATATCATAAGATGAATTACTGGAAAAATCAGTAAATTTGAAAATAAGATTTTCATCACACACAAAAAATAAATTAGCTTCTAAAAAGAACTGAATGGATCAGTAAGAATAAAAGGTAAATCATTAGATTGTTATTGT